AGCTGATCGTGTGTAGTTATCCTGCCAGCTCCCTGCATATAGCTGGCCAACATGATCACAATCATCGTACGTGGATCAGTCAAAAGTTCCCTCTTGATATAAGCATTTGAGGTCTTCAAGACAAAAGTTTTGACTCGCTTGCAGGGCCGACCATTCCAACCAAGATCCTCAGATGTTGTGTGTGATTGCGTGGATCAGTCGAAACTTCCCTCTTGACATAAGCTTTTGAGCTCGCCAGGACAAGACTTTTGACTCGCTTGCAGGGCCGACCATTCTACAGAAGATCCTCGCACGCTGTGACTGATAGCGCCAACCAGTCAAAAGTCCCCACGTAATATAAGCATTTGAGCTCTCCAGGACAAGAGTTTTGACTTGGTCGCAAGGCCGGGGCCATTCCACGTAAGATCCTCAAACGTTGTGACTGATGGCGCCAACCAGTCAAAAGTCCCCACGTAATATAAGCATTTGAACTCTTCAAGACAAAAATGTTGACTCGTAGGCAAGACCGACCATTTTTCGCAAAAAGTTGTGAGCGATGGCGCGGACCAGTCAAAAGTTTCCTCGTACTATATGCATTTAGGCTCTCCAGGACAAAAGTTTTGACTCGCTCGCAAGGCCGACGATTCCACGTAAGATCCTCAAACGCTTTTGACTGATAGCGCCAACCAGTCAAAAAGATGCCTCGTAATAATGAGCATTTTAGCTCTTGGGGATAAAAGTTTTGACTCGCTTGTGCACAAAGCTGACCATTTCCGCAAAAACTTGTGAGTGATTGCGCAAATCAGCAAAAGTTGCCTAAGTTGTAAATTAAGCTTTTAAGCTCTTTAGGACAAAAGTTTTGACTCGCTCGCAAGACCGGCTATTCCACGCAGGATCCGACAGACGCTCTGAGTGTCAGCGCCGATCAGTTAAAAGGGCCCTTATAATATAAGCATAAGCTGAGCTCTTCAGGACAACGGTTTTGACTTGCTCGCAAGGCCGACCATTCCACATAAGATCCAACAGACGCTGTGAGTGACAGCGGGGACTGAGTCAAAAGTTCCCTCTTAATATAAGCATGCAAGCCTTCTTCGAGACGAAAGTGTTGATTCGCTTGTAAGGCCGACCGGTTCATCAGCAATCCAACAGGTATTGTGAGTGACAGAGCAGACCAGTCAAAAGTCCTCTCTTAAGAATAAGCATCTAAGTCCTTCAAGACAAAATTTTTGACTCGCTCGCAAGGCTGACTATTCCTCCTAAGTTCCGCAAACGCTGTGAGCAACAATAGCGCCGACCAGTCAAAAGTTTTTTAAGCTCTTCAAGACAAAACTTTTGACTTGGGGCGTCACTCCGCACATGATACAAAAGAACGTTGCTGAAAATGGCGCCACAGGATGACTCTCACGCAAAAGGGGGGTCATGTCACTTTGATCTGATGGCATGTATAGAGCACGCTATGTGCCAAAGTGGGGTGGCTTTGCTCCGGCGCAGCCCTATCGGAGTTCAAACAATGATAGTACTACCACCCTCCTCTGCCAAAGCTCGCGGCATTGGCCGAGAGTCATTCAGAGGCTGAGCAAACCAAAAGTCCCCAGCTATATGTCAGCACTTTAGACAAAATGAGAGCGGTGCACTTCAATGGTACTTGAAGCACACAAAATGGGGTTCAATGCGCGCAATTGCACGCCGCACCTTGATTCGGAGTTGCGGCGCGAACAGATCATTGCACTGTTGGATCCCGCCCCGCCCTCTCCGTAGCGTCGCTAAGGCCTTGCAAGTTGTTCGCACTCACAAGCCCGCACTGTGAGAGGTAGTGCAATGGGACAGAAGATGGATGTATGTCGTTGCATTTGCACTTGGGGCCGGCTCAGCTCGGACAGTGCCAGGCTCAGCTCAACGTATAGCCCTTCGCGAAGGCTCGCCAGGCAGCCTTTGTGGCTTTCAACGTTGCCAAGGTGCATAGCTTATGGCATTCGGAGCCAAACCGGGCACTTTCTTTGCAGTTCGGCAGAATCGCCGATCGACGGCGCTCGGCTGAACCCTGCTCATCGGACGGTCGAGAGAGTTGGGGGGAATTGGAGACTCGCGCCGCCCCGCCTACCGCGCGCGCGGCAACAATTAGCCACGTGCCTGAAGGTTTACCGTGGCGGTTTTGGCTCCCCGGTCCCCGGGGGCCGGACTTCGAACCAATGATTTGAATGACACGCACGAACTGGGTCTGGGGCGGGCCCCCGCGGGCGCCAGGGCGGTCGTATCTGCAAGGATAACATATTTACACACTCTCCAGCTTGCCCCCTTGTGGCCGTTCTGGATCTGACGGGTCGAAGGTGTGAAAGGGCTCCAAGAAGATCTTTGGTGACCAAATCACTGATCCCGCGGATCTTTCAGATCGTCCGGGTGCATCCACGTCGTCAAAAGGGTGGCTGAACTGCGCCCGCGCACTGGTGTTCCAGGATACGGAGGTCGAGTTCTGCACTCTGACTCTGCAGAGTGCAGTGACTCGGCACACTTGAGCGCGCACGTCTGCTACTGTAGCAGACGTGCAGCAGCTATGTACCTATGTGCAGCCTACTACTACTAGAGCTGTTGGCAACCTCAGTGCTTTGGCAACAGTGAACAGCACTGGCGTTGGGCACTGAGGGTTTGAACTCAGTGTCGGTATTCATTGCTCATTCCTACTTCAGAAGACGCGGACCTAGCAATCTTTTCACATTTGTCCTCCGCATTTTGCACCCCTGCCTCGCTGCAGGAGCGGAGAGCAGCTGGGAGTAGGGACCGCAGTGGCATTCGGGGTTGTTGGTTGAGAGGATTCGGCAATAATGGCGTCCGTGGCTGTGCGGTCAGGGACCGCTGCTCTGGGATCTTGCTCGCTGCAGAGCCAAACGCAATGCAGGACTGGGGGGGTGGCAGGATCTGCTGTGCTTCCAATCAGGAAGCAGAATCTGCTGCAGTCTAACTTCCAGGGACAGCAGTTATCTTTCAGGTAATGAGGTGCTCTGAGATCTACGTGCCCACCCAACGATCGTAGGTGATGCATTTGAGGTTTGCCACTGCTTTGACTTGCAAAATTTGATTTGGACCTGATTCTGTGATTTTGAGCAAGAATGAGGTAAGCTTAGAGAGCCAGGGATGGTAAAGTTTGATAATGGTTCTGGCTCCATTATCGCCCAAGGAGGATCGTGGAGCACAAAAGTGAATGTCCTTTCATTCATTTCCACTCATGAGCTGAGGCTGGTTTCCCCAAGCACAATCTAAGTTCTAGATCTATGGAGTCCAAGAAGAATAGGAGCAGCTTTTTAGCTTCCTTGGTTCCTCCTCGGGTCCGTGTGTTTCCATTTTATACCAGATCTGTACGTTGAAAAAGGATATCCTGGGAAGATTCCAAGCTGATGATGTGGACATAACTATCAAAGACTGGGCAAGGGGCGTACTATTGCTCAGTCTCTTGCTGAGGCAGATCGAGGGGTTGAAATGCATTCGATCAACATCACTGTTTGAAACAGGCTTTCTGAGACCCTGCACTTGAGGAGGATTTTTGGAGACTCTACCATGTGATTGTTCTTTGCTGCTCATCTTGCAATATAGGCCAGTGCCTACATGTAGATGCCAAGCAGGCAGGTGTAAAGCTTCACTCTAGATGTTGTATCTGGAAGCAACGAACAGCTCGTTCTTGATATATTTCTTGTAGAAATCATCCCCAACTATGCCTCTGGCCTTCCCAAATGAGGGATTTCGTTCGACTCGCTTTTGTTTGCCATGTGCGCTTCTATCAGAATGAGTTCAGGCCCCTCATCTCATGATTCTCCATCTGCAGGCCTTCCACCAGACCTAGCCATGGCCCTTCCATGGTCGTAGCCGCCCCTCCTTCTCCCTCAATCACCTCTTCTCCGGAAGAAGAGAACCCCTCCCCCTTCTCTGGCTTTGACTACGGCGCGAAGCCCCCGTTCTCGCTTGCTGACATCAAAAACGCCATCCCTAAGCAGTGCTGGGAAAAGAACACTCTGAGGTCAATGACGTATTTGGCAAGGGATGTGTTGGTGGTCTTTGGACTGGCGGCGGCGGCGGCGGCAGTGAACAGCTGGGTCACATGGCCGCTGTACTGGTTGGCGCAGGGGACCATGTTCTGGGCGCTCTTTGTGGTGGGGCATGACTGGTGAGCGAATTTTGGCAAGTTGGAAAAATTTAGTTGGACTCTCCACAGCCAGTTTGAAAGTAAAGATTGCAATGGCAGTGGTGGGTGCTTTGCGATCCTTTCTAGCTGACTAAAATGAAGTCCCTCAAGAAGGGATGATTGAGGCGAGCTCTAGTAGACATGTACCAGGTGACTGGTGATTGACCTCCAGATGCACAAAAGGGAAAATACAAGAGTTTTTATTATCGCAGGATCTTTGCCTGCTGTCTCTGATGAAGTAAGGGGTCAGGGCTCCAAGTACTAGGTACCCGAGAGTTCTAGCAGTGTCAGTGGTGAAACCCCGGAAGAGCATGTGGACACATACAAGAGGGTTGAGTAAATAACAGCGATAAGGATCTGGTATTGAGATCCTTTATAATTAGATTGACCAGCTTGGTGGCTGGCCAAGTTGAACAGACAACATTGTCATTCAAGCCGAAAAAAACTCGTGGCTCTGCTTTCAAAATCAATTTGACAATCTTTGGTGTTGGCTCAAAAGGACCCAGTTTGGAAGTTCTGATTGATCTGTAGAGAAGTTCTGAGTGATGTGACTCTTGACGGTAAGATTGGTTATTGCTTAGGGTTCGCTTGAAGCATCACTTTCTTCATCCCTTGAGAGTAAGCATAGAGCTGGCATCTCTTTAGTGGAGCACCCTCCTTGGGGTTCAGAAGTCTTCTCTCCCAGTGGTCTCTCAAAAAGCAGACGCTGTGGCAGCAGGCGCATGCATACAAACCTCAAGTGGACTACTTTGGTGCTCAGGGAGAGTTGATTTCTCATCGTTGTTGAGTATGTAAGATCTTTCTGTCTTTCTTGAGTTTAGCCAGCAACATAGGTCATGACAGCATTTTCTTAAGAGCAGAAACTCTGCTTTTGAAGCCGCGCACTTCCTCTGGGGTTCTTCCTAGAGTTGTGCTGTGTCAGAACAGTGACTGGATGCTGTCGTTTCCCAACTGCGGCCCAAGGCGCCAAACTTTCAAACCCAACGGTGCCCAGTCGGTTGGCACAGGGTCCACTCTTGGCTTGGTTATCAACCATCTAATTCTCAACCTGCAGCGGGCATGGTAGCTTTTCCAGCAACAAGAAGCTGAACGACTTTATTGGCCACCTCACCCACTCCTCCATCCTTGTACCCTATCACGGCTGGTAAGATCCTGGTACCCTATCACTCTTGCTTCTTCTATTTAAAGCCTCTTTCCTTTTCCTTCTCTCCTTGAGACCTTGAAAGGTGCATGTTACTCATTTCTACCGTGGCCCTTTGCGAGTAAAGTGATCGACCAAGTGACGTCGGAGTTGAGGTTGTGTTCTTGATCATAACATGCTATCAATGTCCGTTTACTTATTGCAACGCTTAAGGATGCGGAAATCGGCACGACCTTGTTGGCTTTCTCGAAGGTCATTTAATTAACTGAAGGAATCTGGACTTGCATCCTGACCAGATTTGGTGATCTGAGCACGCATCAAATGCATCCTGACAAACGGGGTACTGTTTGGAAAAGGAGTATTGGGGGCAGATTTAGCACGGCAATCACAATCCTGAGATTCGATCAGGGAACTGCTACCATCAGGGAACTGCTACCATGACCACTGGAAAAGGTTAGGTCTAAAAAGAATCACACGAAATGAGCAGAAGGGCTTGAGTTGTGCTAGGCGTTGCCTGTGCGGGCCAAAAGTTAGTCACAAGAAGCATGTTGGAACTCTGTGTTGACACCCTCAGCATGATCATTCTGCTGCAACTCTTGACATTGCAGGCGCATCAGCCACAGGACCCACCACCAAAACCATGGCCACGTTGAGAATGACGAGTCCTGGCATCCGGTAAGTTAGACGGATGCATCAAGATTGGAGGCAGAAAATCAGTCTGATTTTTCCAAAGCTGCCAATTCTGATGTTAAAGTCTTGAGTAGCACTGAAAGATGGCAGCTGTTGTTCATCCCATCGTGGATTGTTACATGCTCAACCAGTCGGAATCTGTTGTATTGTTGGGTGTCAGAAGCTCAGTGTTCGATTGGTAGGAATTGCTTTTGGAGGGAACTGTTTGCAGGAGCGAATGTAGAGATTAGACTCACCTCTGAAATCATTTCGTGTCTGATCGGCTCAGGATTCGGCAGGCTGTTATTTTTGATAGTTTGAGGAAGAAGAGAGACGCAAGCTGCCCTTATGTATTCCTGAAAGGAACTTATGTATTCCTGAAAGGAAGAGATGAAACCACTCGTAAAAGGTGGTTTGAGTATCCACCTCAGAAGAGAAGCCCGGCGCTCACGCCCCTCTCTGACGCCACTCCCAGGTCACCGAAAGCATTTTTAAGGACCTGGACCCCTTCGCCCGCTTCGGCCGCCTGACCTTCCCCATCGCTCTGTTCGCCTTTCCCTTCTACCTGGTAAGCACGGCTCTCCGCAGCGTGCCTCCTAGCTCATTTCATCGTGTCGTTTCTAACTTTGTTTTGTGTGCCGTCGCCGCCTTGGCTTAATCTAGGTGACAGAAAGCATGGCCGAGAAGATGACGGGCATTCAGGGGCGCTTCACCCTCCCCTTCGTGCTACTGGCTTTCCCCCTGTACTTGGTGAGGACTCTGGGGGTTCGACGCACCGCCAAATTAGGGGCCTAGAGGCACCTTTGAGCTTTACTTTGGCACTCAAAAGGGACGCAACTGTCGGGGTCGTTAGCCCCAGAAACGAGTATCTTCGTCCTTTCAAAGTGGATTGGAAGAAACCAGGGTTTTCACTTGAACATCCCCAGTCGTCTGTCCATTAATATGGTAGTAAATCAAAAACCCTCGTGCGGGAACTTCAGTGGATTTCAAATGATAGTCGAGCAGTTTCGATTGGTAGTCGTTACAAAGTGAACGATGATTTCGTACGACTCGACTAGCATCTTAAGCAGCTAGCAAGGAGGTAAGATCAGCATCATTCTTGAACATCACCCCTATCCAAGTTCGTATCTCCGGGTCGAACTTTGGTGCCAGCGTTTTAGAGCCGATACAAGCCTGCTTCTCTCGTGTTGGGGCCTTCGAAAATCAGGAAAGACTAACTCTCTGGTCCACTCTTAACAGACTCTTGCAACGACCCCGTTAGCTTTTCTCTGATCACGAAACACACGACACTGTTGATGTGTCGTAAGTTTCCTCGTTAGACTCGTAGCTTTCCTTGTTAGATCCGAAACACTATTAGCTTTCCTTGTTAGATCCGAAACACTATTGCTTTACATGTAAGTCACTGTCCATTTCCGACCAGTCTTCTTCGCTTGAGCCCGAAGGTCCTTTTCCTCGGGTCTGATGACTTCATCGTAACCTTTCGACACCCTACTTTCTCAATGCGTAGGCTCTTCTCAGATTGACGCACCTTTTGTCCTTGTTTCCGGAATGAGCTCCTCGTGCTGGCAGTGGAAGCTCCGCCGTAGCAAGGACAACTCTCAACACTCCTTACCTGCGATTTTCACCTATCCCACGTTCCTTGTCTAATATTCCCCGTACGCCAACCCTGAAACACCCCAGTCTGCACTTCCCTGATATCTGTCGTTTCTGTCAACAGTGGAAGCGCAGCCCCGGCAAGGAGGGCTCCCACTACGACCCCAACTGCAGTCTTTTCACCCCCAGCGAGCGCAATGACGTCCTCACCTCCAACGCCTACATGGTTGGCATGCTTGCGATCCTCGCGGCCGTCGGCGTTGTGGCCGGCCCTGCCATGCTCTTCAAACTCTACATAGTCCCCTACATCGTGAGTATCGGGTCAACGTCAACCAATGTTAGTGCAGTCTGTTTTGTCGCCTGTATGGATCCGGTTGGGAACGTTCATAGGCGTTCCCAGATGCGCGCAGCCCTTGCCCTTAGCGAAAGCTTCCACGAAGCATACGTTTGCTGCGCGCGCATTTGCCAAGACTGAATCTGTGACTTGCGCAAAGTTTCCCAGCGGCTGAGAGGGCAACGAGGAGAGCTGTCGAAGTCGACAAGGAGAAGGGGGCTGAGGATTTGCCCACTCTTTCGCCGGTTTCATGTCAAAAATTTCGAGGAAGCAGGGCTTGTTCGGCACTTTGTTCTGTGTCCAACAATGAAAGAAGCCGCAATTGTCCTGGACTTTGTTCCAGCTGCCATCGAAGCGCTGAGACCGCCGTACTGGGAACGAAGTTGAGGATTCAGAATGTGGAGACTACTTTTCATGACTTGTGCCTGACCCGCCCCCTGCCTTTCTGCAGCTGAACGTTGTGTGGCTAGATGTCGTTACATACCTGCACCACCACGGGTATGAGGAGAAGATCCCCTGGTATCGTGGCGAGGTAAGAGCTCTGTTCTGCTGAAGATTTTGTTCCGTTTCGAATGCTGTTCCGTTCCGAATGCTTTCCGGTCGCCTGAGGGGGCACTTTTTCTCCCCGGTTTATCTTACGTCTGCTCATTTCCACTTCGCTATCCTTTATCTTAGTGATCCGCGCTAGATTACAGGCATACTCCTCCGTCCTCTTGACGTTGAAGTTGGAGGGGCGCAGAAGGGAGAGTAGGATCCGAGAGACTGAGCCAGTCCGTTCATTGCTACTGGCACGGCCCCGAAGGCCGCTTCATCTCCGTGCGTTTAGCAACAAGATCACCGCAACTTAGTCCCCCCAATTGACTTCGGTGGGCGCAGTAAATCCTCGTTGCTTGCTGGCGTCAATCCTTATTACTACAAGCGGGTCACCCGCTGGTGAGTTTGAAGACCCTGTTCACTGATGCTTTGTGTCTGGAGCGCAACTCAACGCCCCTTGTCCGGCTCAATTTAGGAGTGGAACTACATGCGCGGTGGGCTGTCGACCATCGACAGGGACTACGGTATCTTCAATGACATCCATCACGACATTGGCACGCACGTCGTTCACCATCTCTTCCCCCAGATGCCCCACTACAACCTGAAGGAAGCGGTGGGTGCCCTTTCTCGTTTGCCTCCAAATGTCGTGTTAGGCGCTTCTCCCTTGCCTTTGCAAACCGCTCAAAATCTGAGAAGCTTTTAGAATTATTGTGATCTTGTTGGGATCAGTAGCAGTTTTAGCTTCGTCCAGTTCGTGGAAGTTTTGATTTCAGGTTGAGAGCGGGTTTGCGAAAGCATGATGTGGATTCGAGGGTGCTTTCATGGTCGCTGGCGGCTTCGCAGTACGGGAGTCGGCTTTCACTGAGATTGAAACTTGCGTCGGAGCCAGCTCCGGACAGACACCAAAGAACTCTGAAAATTGAAGGTAGGAATCAGCGCTTTCCATGGGCTTTAAATAACGGTTGCAGCTCATGTCTGTGAATCAATCCGATTGACGACTGAATCTCACATGTTTTTCTTGCTGTTGCAGACGGAGGCAGTGAAGCCGGTGCTCGGGGAGTACTACCGGGAGCCCGAGAAGAGCAAGGGCCCCCTGCCCTTTCATTTGGTGAAGCCCCTGATCGACAGTTTCAACAATGACCACGTGGTTCCGGACGAGGGGGAAGTTGTTTACTACAAGAAGGCCTTCTAATCCGCAAGAAATCACGAGTTGGGAAAAACATCGCAAAGAACTTTGGGAAAAGATCGTGCACGAACTAGAACGAGGAGTTGTGATGATGCACGAGACACAGTGACGTGCAGGGTCCCCTCCATGCATTAGCTTTGTTGACTTTCGCCATTCTTGGGTTCGATTCGCCAAGCCCACCGTGCCGAACGATTCGAGGTAGTAAAGTCAGACGCGCAAGGGGTTTGGCAGTGGGTGCGTGCGCCTTGGTTGGAAGGTGGTGTAGTTATATCTCTTTTGGTGTCCGCTTCATTGGTTGAAACGCTCACATTGAGCGGCACTCCCGGGGAGTGATTTCTTGGAAGCGAGCCCGTTATTCGCTTACGGTGACCGTTAAGACTTTCAGTAGGTAGGTATATTGGACAGGCGGCTCTTGTAGGGCATTGTGCACGATTGGGTGCAATTGCTCCGATTCTTTTCAGCAGGTATGGTCCAGGTAATCAGCGAAGTGATTCATTAGACGAGTCAAAAAGAGCCGTGCATAAGGATATTAAGACTCATTATAATCCTTACCTTCGCTTATCCTACCATAAGATCGATCCCAGTGGTCAGTGTGACGGCTGGTCTTTTCATTTGAACGATCAGACCTTCTCCAGAATTCTCATGGCATCACGACTCCAATCGCTAAATGCGAGCCAGATGTGAGCCTTCTTCTTTTATGAATGCCACTCTTGTCGACTACTTTTGCTGAGATACATTTACTTGCATTAGCAAACATCAAAATCAAAAGTTGGTTGCGTATTCATGTATACAAAGAAACTGTAAAATCCCGCGTGCACGATCATTTGCATGGAGTAGTTTACTTAGATTACGTGGCCGGCTACTCCGTTTTTACCACATTAACATGCCCGGGCTGTTTGCAATTTGGATGTCATCATTGCAATCGGAAAATTCGATGTGTGGTATATTGAGGAATGCACTCGACAACTGCACATGCGATATTGCAAAACAACGACGCAGGTCAATGGTGCTTGCCGCGCAGACTCGAGTCATTATGATGCATGGATTGATATTAATGTGGAAGTTTCAAAATTGCCCAACTTCAACATATCGAGTACATGTATGATCGAGGCATATGTCACGTGTGCTCGCGCCCGACCTAGTCACTCTTGCCAGCTTACTGAAGTCGAGTATACTACGTTATTTTCACTTCCTCTCTGAACTTCCGGGTTTTGACGTCTAATCCAACTTCGCAATTTTGTCAAGAACTCAGCTCGGTCACTCGGTTCAGACCTGCATGTGCAAGCTTGATCCTGCCAAGTGACGACAACTTATACAAGGACTAATTTCACAGAAAAAATTTGAAGCTTCTAATATAGCGAGCAGAAAAGCGAGCTGGACAGATGAAGGCTTAATGCCAAGCTAGTGTCTGTTGTGCAACGGCTAGCCTGGCCGTAATGAGACTTGAACTGGGGCGCTTATGTTTATCAGCCACGACTTCGAACTACCAAATACAAATGGAGCAATATTGAGCGTTGATCAGTTATCACTCGACCAAACAACAAGTGGGGAAAAGCGAGCAACATGTTACAGTCTATAGCGATCCCATCGGTCTAGTATACTTCACTCCAAATCACACTTAGCATGCTGGCCCGCCGCGGCTGCGGGGGGTGCCGATGCCTGAACCTCAGGCACGCACTCTTACTAAGACTTTGGCACCCAACACCCGTGGAAAGTAGTCGTGACGTGGACCGGTAACTCGATCTCACACACCCCAGACATCGACTCAGCATCAACCACCACCACACTCGACGTATGCCGGTCCTCGTTATACGCGACCGCAAGAAGATACCCGTCGTCTTCCTTCTCGCCGCCCGCTTTCGGAACGAACACCGTGTCCGAAGACGCCCTCCCGACGTTATATTCCTCCACCTCCCCGGTCTCTAAATCGTACTTTTCGTAGCAGTTGTAAAACGCGGGCGCGCCCGGGGAGTCACTACCGGGCACTTTGGCCGCGCCCACGTAACCCCCGCGACTGACCGGGGCTTCCAACCGGCCGCAATTTGCGTTCGCCAGCACGTAGACGTAGCGCATTTTCTTCCCGGTGAGCGCCGGGTGAATGGTCGGGAAATCGTGCCCGTGCGCGGGAGTCGGAGTTCCGTCGGCGCGCTTCGCGGCGGGGCCCTCGGAGATTAGGGCCCACGTTTTGGTGTCAAAGGTGTAGTCCCACAGGCTACTCAGGCTGTCCCAGCACCAGGTGCTTTCCCACAGGTCCGCCATGACGGTCTCGAGGTCGGCGCGGCTGCCGTTCTGCGAGGGGCCACGGATATGCGATAAGCGGGCTGGTTTATACGTGAGACAACTTGCTTCTCCATCCACTGACGGGCTGCTGAGTACTCTGGCTTGCTCGGCCAGCGTGTTGGTCGAGGCTGGGCCGCTTATGGCAAACAAATGACGTCGAGCTAGCTGGAAGCATTCTTGAAACTCTCATGATTTGCGGGACGGTGTGTTATTCTCCTCACTCTTTGAAACAACAAACCTTCATCATTGTGTACGAAGACTACATCGGTCGGTACGGCCACTAAGATTTCCAGAAAGCAATTCAGTACTTCGAAGTACGATACCAGTACTTTGTTTTTCAGCAAACAGAGAGTCAAAACCAGTTGATCGAAAACCACAGCTATTGTCCGAAAACCAGTTTGAAAAGCCTGGGCTGTCATAATGAAACGAAGGAATCTGACTTCCGGCCGGCAAGAAAAGAGAGCGGAAGACAAAGCGTTCAAAGCAACACACGAAGACGAGAAGAACAGAGCAAAGCAAGAAAAGAGGGACGACGAACAGATATGGCTGGAAGAAGCAGACTCGTGAGATTGAGAATCAGCGAAGAAAAAACCTACCAGCCGGCACGTGACGAGATGCAGCTTGCCGTCCTCCTCGTACGCGTTCGCGTTGTGGTACATCGAGAATGACGGCAGCTTGACGTCAGCCACCACCTCGAGGTCGCTCTTTCGCGCGACGACCGCGCGGGTCCCGCGCTCGGGGACCCACTTGAAGGAGTCTCCGAATTTTTTCAGGCCCAAGGCGAACTGCAGAAAAAGGGGTTAGCAAAGGAAGTTAGCGGGCAGAAACCCCAAAGCTAGACTCGGTTTAATCGTCGATCCTGTCTTGCACTTGCAAGACGAATTTCCGAAATTGTTCAGGCCAAGGGCGAAAACCGGGTTAGGAGAGGGGGTTCGAAGGCCGCCGCAATGTATTCCGCAACTTGCCTCAGGTTTTTTGATAATACTGCCGTGCTCGGGAGCCCACCTGAAGGAGTCGCCAAAAAGTGTCGAGGCGGACTGCATATAATGGGTCAGCAACAGAAATTCGAGAGTTGCTACAGGTGATGACAAGCAGCTGAAGGGACACCGGTAGCCGACCTGCCTAGGAGAAATCCGCTCTGGTCAATCCTGAAAAAGACAAAGGAGACAGCTCCTACGATTATCCCGAAGTGAGCGACTAAGCTACGCGGAAGGCAACAGAAAAGGGCCCGGTACGAGTGGCTTCATCCGCAATTAAAACGCCTCGGTGAACCAGCAGAAGGCATTGGCAACCACTCAGAGCGGGGTCAAGGAGAATCAGTAAT